TTGTCCAAGATGATTGTTCGAACTAAATTGATCTTTTTTTGTCCCCCTCAGTTATCCCCTCCCACTAGAGAAGAAAGCAATGCCATGTTTAGTAGAAACTAAATTCATCTTCTTGTATGTGTGTTCAATTTTTTAGGGATAATTGTAACAGTGGTATCAAACATTTCATTTAGTTGCAAATTTTGTCAAAATCATTAATTTGTGTCACCCACGGTACAAAACATTTCATTTGTGCCATACATGGTACCAAATCTTTTCAAAATGTAGCAACTGAAGTCCAAATGAATGGTTTATATTAGTTTGAACATTAGTTGTAGACCATTAGTGCAGAGAACTACCTTAAAATTGTAAAATTGATTTAAGAAAGTAGAATTTGTTCGCTTGATTTGTGGTGAGTAGATGTGTAGTTATTGATTACGGTGGACAAAATGGCGGTGGTGGTGATGGTTTTGGGGTGGGGTGGGTGGGTGAAATTAATTTTTTGGTTTTTAATTTTAATTATTTGATTTTAGTTATTTTATTATGAAAATGTAAAGTTACCATTTAAATATTTTAAAATTAGTCAAAATTATTGTCAAAATCAATTATTTGGTCAACTAACGGTCAAATTAACAAAAACCATTCATTTGGATTTCAACTGCGATATTTTGAAAATGTTTGGTACTGTGTGTAGCACAAGTAAAAAGTTTGGTCAAAGTCTGCAATTAAATAAAAAGTTTGGTACCGCTGCTGCGATTATCCCTTTTTTTTTTTTTAAATTTCCATCTGCTTTTTAAGGTTGGTAGAACATATTAAGCCCATGTTTAGTAGAAACTAAAATTCAAATTTTAATAGTTAAAATCAACAATTAATTTTAATAACTCATTTTATAGGACACAACTTTTCAACCACACATTTCATTAAATTTTATCAAAATTTACTAAAATTTAATTTTAATCTCTACTAAATAGGGGTTAAAAGTGTTACCATTGGGGAATGCACGGCCTTTTTGAAGGTCCGCGGGGATAAAATATAGATAGCGTAGAATCAAATACACGCAATATGGTATTAGAAGCTAAATTACCACCAAACCTATATACTCCTTAAGGACCTATTGTGTTTGGGTTCGCCGAGTTGAGGTATTTTGCGAATTTACAATGTAATCTTATTCACCGTGAAGTAAATCTCATAGTCCACGTCCTTGCAAAACACGCTCCTAGTACTTTGAAAATGCATTGTGAGTTGAGACATGCCGAACATCACTGTAAGTACTCTAGCGGCTGATTTGAATGAATGAAACTCAATTTTTATATCGAAAAAAAGAGAGTAAGATATGACATCATAATTTTGTATATTATTTTAATTAAATTAAATCTTTAAGTAAGATATATACACCAAAACTAACAAAATAATGAAAAATATCAATACAAGAAACCCACATTTATCTTAGTTTGTTCTTGACGTTGTCCTCACATTCAAGATTCTAAACCAATTTTAAAACGGAACCTAGTCATTTGCAAGGGCTAACAAATTACTGTATAATATTTTCTACTAATAAAAGATTAAATAATTATAAAGCATTGCTAAGCAAATTAATATTTGAGCTAAGTGTTCTAATACTTGAGATAATGATTATCCTTAAAATTCAAAGTACCATAATAGGACAGGATTTTTGTGCCACACACACGTGCACCAATATAAAATCTTCTTGTCCAAGTATGGAACTTAGTTACAAAGAATAAAGAGGGTTCATTTTCTAACAATAAAATCAACATGTTACATGATTAGATGCAAATAGACCAACAACTTAAATTTTCATTTATCCAAAAATAGTCTTAAGCAAATAAATAAATTACTACTATTGTAAAAAAAAAAAAAAAGACATTTTGCCCAGCCCTAATTGCAGTAGTGGTAACAAACCTTTCATTTAGTTACAGATTTTGCTCAAACCTTTAATTTGTGTCACTCACGATACCAAACATTTCATTTGTGCCATACACGGTACCAAATCTTTTCAAAATGTAGCAATTGAGGTCCAAATAAATGGTTTATGTTACTTTGACCATTAGTTGCGGACCGTGCAGAGAACTACCTTAAATTTGTAAAATTGATTTCAGAAAGTAGAATTTGTTCTCTTGATTTGTGGTGAGTAAAAGTGTAGTTATAGATCATGGTGGACAGGATGGCAGTGGTGGTGATGCTTTTTGGGGTGGGGTGGGGTGGGGTGGATGGGGTAGATGAAATTGATTTTTTGGTTTTTAATTTTAATTATTTAATTTTAGTTATTTTATTATAAAAATGTAAAGTTACCATTTAAACCTTTTAAAATTAGTCAAAATTATTGTCAAAATCAATTATTTGGTCAACTAATGGTCAAATTAACAAAAATCATCCATTTGGATTTCAGCTACGCCATTTTGAAAATGTTTGGCATTGTGTATGGCACAAATGAAAAGTTTGGTCAAAGTCTGCAATTAAATGAAAGGTTTGGTACCGACGCTGCGATTATCCCTTTTTTATTTTTAAATTTCCATTTGCTTTTTAAGGTTGGTAGAACATATTAAGCCCATGTTTAGTAGAAACTAAAATTCAAATTTTAATAGTTAAAATCAATAATTAATTTTAATAACTCATTTTATAGGACACATAATTTTTCAACCACACATTTCATTAAATTTTATCAAAATTTACTAAAATTTAATTTTAATCTCTACCAAATAGGGGTTAAAAGTGTTACCATTGGGGAATGCACGGCCTTTTTGAAGGTCTTTGATTTGTAGCTACGCGGGGATAAAATATAGATAGCGTAGAATCAAATATACGCAATATGGTATCAGAAGCTAAATTACCGCCAAACTTATATACTCCTTAAGGACCTATTGTGTTTGGGTTCGTCGAGTTGAGGTATTTTGCGAATTTACAATGTAATCTTATTCACCGTGAAGTTCGTCGAGTTGAGGTATTTTGCGAATTTACAATGTAATCTTATTCACCGTGAAGTAAATCTCATAGTCCACGTCCTTGCAAAACACGCTCCTAGTACTTTGAAAATGCATCGTGAGTTGAGACACGCCAAACATCACTGTAAGTACTCGAGCGGCTGATTTGAATGAATGAAACTCAATTGTTATATCGAAAAAAAGAGAGTAAGATATGACATCATAATTTTGTATATTATTTTAATTAAATTAAATCTTTAAGTGAGATATATACACCAAAACTAACAAAATAATGAAAAATATCAATACAAGAAACCCACATTTATCGTAGTTTGTTCTTGACGTTATCCTCACTGACATTCAAGATTCTAAACCAATTTTAAAACAGAACCTAGTCATTTGTAAGGTCTAACAAATTACTGTATAATATTTTCTACTAATAAAAGATTAAATAATTATAAAGCATTGCTAAGCAAGTTAATATTTGAGCTAATTGTTCTAATACTTGAGATAAGGATTATCCTTAAAATCCAAAGTACCATAATAGGACAGGATCTTTGTGCCACACACACGTGCACCAATATAAAGAATAAAGAGAGTGCATTTTCTAACATTAAAACCAACATGTTACATGATTAGATGCAAATAGACCAACATCTTAAATTTTCATTTATCCAAAAATAGTTTTAAGCAAATAAATAAATTACTACTATTGTAAAAAAAAAAAAAATTAGAAAATTAAATTTTCATGAATAGTATAATTAGAATTGAAACGAGGTATTTCTAGAAACGATTTGCAGGACTCGCTTAAATATTGGCTTAAAATTAACGAATACCGTTTTTCAACGTCAACTACCCCATATTTTAAAATTAATTATAAATAATGAGGATGCATATTTAATCATTAAGCACCATGACTAGGACCAACCCTCAAACTATAATTATCCTTATAATAATTCTTAGATTGAATTATAATTTGAATTGGACACCCAAAATTGGAATAGGACTAAAGATGGACTATTCTTTTAATGTGGGGTGGGGGGGTGGGGGGGGGGCAATGGTTAGATATAATTAACAAGCAATTACAAGAGTAAACCCACCACTTTAATACATTCATTATTGCATGTTGTTAATCAAAAAATCACTACATGTATACCAACTCTCTTTGTCATGTTGATTGGGGACTTTTTCGGTATCACAATTGATATCGAGGGTTTTAGAAGTAAATCTGAAACTCGAGTCCTAGCAATAACACTATTTTTCTGAATTTACTTCAATAATCTTTTACAGGATAAATCGATTAGCGTATTCAAGTAATTTGGTATCAAATATTAATTAACGATGAGAACGAACAAATGTAGGAGGGAGGAATTGGTTTCTCAAAAAATGTGACGAAGAGACACAATTAAATACTTTATTACATTGAATTGGAAGAAAAAAATCTAATCCAAACTATACTTCGAGAATCGTTTATAAGGAAAGTCAAGTGGAATCAAGTATGCTTGGTTGTAGAGTAATACCCCACCCCACCCCACCACACCCCACCAAAAATAATTTCAGATTAATGGTGAGCAGAGAAAATATGAATACAGACAAATGGTCCACAGAACGTGGCAACGACTTAATCTCCCATCCCCATTGAAAATAGGAAAAATACTATAATACCCAATAAAAAAAATTTAGGACAAAAACAGCCTATATTTAGTCGAAATCTTTCAATTAGGCCCACCAAAAAACCAATTCCGCCAGACTTTTCAAAGTTGGTAAGATTTCTGTCTCTCTTTCCCGTTGGCTTGGTGTTTTACAGCGGAAAGGAAAGGAAAAGTGGAAAATCACCCTCCTCCTCTCCCTTCCTTAACTTTCATGTAGTCCCAAGTCTCTCTCTCTATGTTTTTTGTGTGTATATGTATATGCGCGTATATACAAACAACTGACATGCAAAACCCAACAGCTGAAAATCAATCAATTCATACTTTTGACCCTGCTGAGGCCACTCCACTCCAAAACCCATGAATTCACAGTTACGTCATTTTTTTTTATTCCCTTTTCTTCTCTCTTGATTTTTTTTTTTTGTTATATTATATGGAAGCTCCGGGCGTTGAACTTGAGGCGGTGTTGGAATTCTTGAGAAAAAATGGGTTGTCAGAGTCAGAATCTGCTCTCATGGAGGATATCATGGAGAAATCTCAACTGGGTGCTTCTGATTTTGAGAAGTTTTTGTTCCCTATGGTACCGCCGCCTCCTGCGCTAAAACTTCCAGCCAATCGGCAGCGGCCATTATCGGCTGCCTCAGTTGATGAAGGTGGAAGTACAGGTTCTTCTGATGAGGAGTTTGTGAGTTTGGGTTCTTCTACTACTGAATTATGTTCTTCTGGTAATGTTATATATATATTTTTTCTCTTTTTTCTGTTCTCTGCATATTTTTGATAAATTATTCTATCCTTTTTCCCCTTCTCTTAATACAGAATTTTTCAATTTTGTGCATAATACCACTGTTAGGTTATGGATTGAATTATTATTTGTATCCACGTCTATATGGCAATTTAAATGTTCGGCCAATTACAAAATTTAAAATTGAAGTATACCCAATTTGATGATGAATAATCCAAGATTTTTACTATTTGAGTACCAGAACTGCATTATTCATAGTTTTATTTCCTTCCTATTTATTTATTTTTGGCAGAATTTACGAATCCTTACGGCATTCATACAACTACCAGACCGACTTCTCAAGCTTCATCCGATAGGTTGTCTCAGTTTGGTACTGCACGAGATTATCCTGATTTTGATATGCAAAATGACCTATTCTGGTACAAGGAAAATGACGAAGACTATGCTATGCCAACCCTCTTTGTGGGCCGAGATTCTGATGGTGATCCAAGTGAGGATAAGTATATCACGGTTGTCCAGATTGAGAAGCCCTTTGCAGATCAAGTCGATTACGGTTTTATATTGGAAGGGTACACTAATTATTTGGAAAAGGGATTGCCTTTAATGTCAGTTGAAAACGTGAAAGATGAAGCTTATAAAGATTATTATGATTTGAACTGTGACTTTCGACTTGAACAAAGTGATGAGAAACATGGAGAACATTGCAAGCATCTAAAAGTTGTGGATGCAAATGATGTTCAGCTTAGGCAGTCAAGGGGGCAACCTGTCGACAGTCAAAATGACTTCACCAAAAGAAATTCTACATATGATTGGGTCGGAGGTTTCAATACGAAAGATAACCATCCAAATGAATATGACAACTATGAAATAAAAAATGATGAAGTAATTGTTGGAGAGCCCCGTGAATCTGAAGCTGTAGCAGATGAAGAGGGCGGTCTAATATCTGATGAGCTTCTGATGTATGATAACACGGAAGACGATTATGAAATATTCGACTTAAGAATTATACACAGAAAAAACAGGTTTGTCAATTCATCCATCACCCATCATTCCTTCTTTTATGGAGATTTTGAGCTTGATAATTTTTTTTTTATTTTTTCAATTGTTTCGTGGAAAAAGTCGTACTGATTTATTAAGCCATTTACAGGACAGGATTTGAAGAGAATAAGGATCTACCTATTGTTCTGAGTAGTGTCATAGCGGGTAGATATTATGTTACAGAGTATCTAGGATCTGCTGCTTTCAGCAAAGTGGTTCAGGCTCATGATCTTCATTTGGGGATGGATGTTTGCTTGAAGATTATAAAAAATGACAAGGACTTTTTTGATCAAAGCCTAGACGAAATCAAACTTCTGAAGTTTGTAAACAAGCATGACCCGGCCGATGAACACCATATTTTACGTCTTTATGATTACTTCTACCATCAGGTACGCATATGAGAAAGCTCAGAAGAACTTTAAATAGATCTATATTGCCTTGTATTAGCCAAAGATCCTTCCTGTCCCCATCATAGTTCTGTATGAAAGATGGTGTTATAAAATTGTCATTATGCTCCATTATCAAGAGGAATAAAAAATTTAAATACAAGGAGAAAGACAACCGCTTTAAAATGCATCTAACATTAGTATGCTAATTTTGCATAGCAGTGTATCTGGTTGGTTACAGAGAACTAATCGAACTACTCTCAGTAATCTGGTTGGTTATAGAGAACTAATTGAACTACTCTCTCTTGACTTTCTCTTTCTTCCCTTCATTTGTTGGTGGAGAGTGGGTGGAGATTTAATTAAACACAGTGCACAACATTGAAATAGACTACTAACCTCTCACTTCTTACAAATTTGACTAGTTACCGCTGTTACTGGTACTTAGAGAGTCTAACATGCATGCTGGAAGTAAGAGAGGCAGTGACAAATGTTAGCACTTAAAATGGGATAAAGGCCCACTTTCTTATATTAATCAAAACCAGTACACGAAGCTTAGTAACAATCACTCTCAAACTTGATCAGAACACACTCTCAAAACTGATCAGAATACAGGAAACAAAATGGGGGGAGCTCCCCTGTTTATAGAACTCTATACTATAGGCGGCAGGATTGGAGACAAGCAGCAGCGTCATAGACCAATAAAAACTGAACAAATCAACAACTCATCTTCAAACTCATGAATTATGTGGTCAGCCAATAAGAAGTGAAAGACAAGTCGTGCTAGGCAGTCAATAGAATTCTTGTGCAGGTTTCTTTGAGGAGAAGAAAATCTTGTGGCTTGGAGTTTTTCAATAGGAAGGAAGCAGTCAAAATTTGTGGCTGGAACACTTTACTATTAAGAAACCATATCATTGGCGAACATATGCTGCTAGGCTTTATGAAATTTCTGGGAAATTATGGCAAAGATATGCTTATTTTTGACACTCCCCCTGAGCACGTACTCCTCTGATTTTATGTATTATACCAAGTCGTTCACAAAATTCTGCAAACTTAGAAGAATTTAGGCTTTTAGCGAACATGTCTGCAACTTGGTCTTCAGTCATGATTGGCTTCATTTCTATTTCTTCACTTATCACCTTCTCTCTGAGGAAATGTTAACGAACTTCTATATGCTTAGTTCTTGTATGAAATACAGGATTTTCTGCTAGTTGTATAGCTGACTGATTATCACAATGAAGTTTCACTGGGTAGTCTATTCTCTGGTGCAAATCCTTTATCAGCTGCATTAACTATGTATTTTCTTTAGCTGCCATTACTGTTGCTCTACAGTCAGCTTTAGTAGTCGAGAGTGATATTGTTGGTTGTCTCTTAGTACACCAAGAAATTGGTCTTGAACCAAGATGGAAAACATAGCCTGTTGTTGAGCGTCTTGTTTCATGGTCTGCAGCATAATTCACAGCACAGTATCCAACTATTTTGATTGCTCTCCTTTTCTGGAGGCCAAAATTAATGGTTCCCTTCACAGATCTCAATATATGCCCGGCAGCTTGTAGATGAGGCTTCTTTGGATTCTATATAAATGGACTTGCTACTCCAACAGTGAACGAAATATCTGGTCTGGTCAGCGCCAAGTAAATTAGGCTACCCACTAGTTGATGATACATAATAATATCCTTCAAATCTTTACCTTCATATGAACATAGCTTAGCATTCGGTTCCATGGGGCTAGAGATAGGTTTGCAGTCAAGCATTCCGAACTTTTGTAGGAGATCTTTTACATACTTCTATTGACATAGAAATAATCTTTCCCGTGTTTGTTCTAGCTTTAGCCCAAGAAAATGTTTCAGTTCTCCAAGTTCTTTCATTCGAAATCGAACCGATAATTTCTCGTACCAATTTGATCTCATCTTAATTATCTCTAGTAATTATTGGTTCATCCACAGAAACTAGTACTACTACTAGTTTTTCTTCACGTGCCTTCACAAATAGACTTGAATCTAAAGATGCTATTGTGTACCCTCCTTGGACTAAGAATCCAGCTATCTTCCCATACCAAGCACGCGGCGCTTGTTTTAAACCATATAGAGCTTTTATTGACTTGCAAACATACTCTTTCTGAGCTTTGTCCTCAAAACCTTGTGGTTGCTGCATATATATTTCTTGATCTAACTTTCCGTGAAGGAAAGCGCTCTTGACATCCATCTTCTATAACTTTCAAGCTTTACTTGCTGCTAGTGCTAGTAAAATTCTTACTGTGCTAATCTTAGCTACATAACTGAATGTCTCGTCATAATCAAGTCCATGTTGTCAAGAAAATCCTCGAGCCACTAGCTGCGCCTTGTATCTCTCTGTAGAACCAATTGGTCGAGACTTCAACTTGTAAACCCATTTACAAGAAATGGGTTTGACATCCTTAGACTTTGGAACTAATTCCCAAGTTTGGTTTTCTTTCACAGCAGACATTTCTTCTTCCATTGCTTTTCTCATCTACTGTTGTCTTTAGCACGTACATAATTTTGCCAGCTTTCATATCCCATTTTTCAAGTGCTTCCGCATCCTCTGCAGAAGGGGGGTTTCACTACCACCAACAACTCCCCATAGTCCTTGTCCACGCAAATAGGACTCTGAACAGGTATGCTAATATTTGTAATTGTTGCTGTTCAACCTCTTAATACTTCCCGAGGTTGAAAGTAAGTCTGCCATCGTGGGTCAGTATACCTTTTTGTTTACTCCCGGGCAAGCATGGTCTCACAGCAACAAACTTTACAATCTCGTATTTTGCACGAGCAATGAACCTATAAGCAGTACCTTGACACAGTTCCCGATCTTCAAGCTCTGATACCAAATGTTAGCACTTAAAATGGGATAAAGGCATACTTTCTTATATTAAATCAAAACCAGTACATGAAGTTTAGTAACTAATCACTCTCAAACTTGATCAGAACACAGACTCAAAATTGAAGAGAAAACACACTCAAAACTGATCAGAATATAGGAAACAAAATGAGGCTCCTCTATTTATAGAACTCTATAGGCATCAGGATTGGAGATAAGCAGCAACATCATAGACTAATAAAAATTGAACAAATTAACAACTCATCTTCAAACCAATGAATTATACAGCCAGCCAATAAGAAATGAAGGACAAGTCATGCTAGGCAGCCAATAGAATTCTTGTGCAGCTTTCTTTGAGGAGAAGAAAATCTTGCGGCTTAGAGTTCTTCAATAGGAAGGAAGATGTCAAAGTAAGGCTGGAAAACTTCACAATTAAGAAACCATATTGTTGGCTAACATATGTTGCTAGGCTTTAGGAAATATTAGGGAAATTATGGCAAAGATGTGTTGATTTTTAACACTTATGATGAAAGGACAAAAAATCTGACAAATATTAAAAAAATTATTTTGTTTGGAAAAAACCATAATATTGGAAAATGAAAAAGAAACATAAGTGACCTTTTTATTCATGATATGTGAAACTGCACATGACATAAAAAGGGACAAGGGGATCTCTATTTATTTTCGATTAGTTTTGAGTGATTGTATTTAGCAGAAATTGAAGGACTCAAAGATGAAATACCCTTGAGAACAGAAGTTAAAAGTTCATTAGTAGTTGATGACAGCAAAGTGGTGCTTGAAAACAGCATCTTATTTCAACAACAAAGGAGAAATAAGGAAGATAACTTACAACTTTCATACTGTAACTCCTTTTACAATTTGATAAAGTATTCTGACACTCCTGATGACCAATTCATAAGACAAAGCTATGATTATTATGAGTATTAACTTTATTAACTAAAATTTCTTCCCAATAATTGGGGTTGCTACATGCTGGCCACTGTGCTAAGTTCATTGCTATATCTACTGGTACATCAAAAGCAAGTAGATATTTAGCAACCACAACCACCCATGTTAGTTCTAGTCTACTCCATCTTCTAACCTGATCATCAAAATCCTGTCAGTCTTATAAATATGAGTCTCTTTAGGTCTACATAACATGTTCTACCCATCCAAGTCATCATTCTCTTAATTATTGTCAACGGTGCCACCTCCTCTTTTGGCTACATTCATCTTATGATGCTTTGTCTCTTAATAAACTAATACCCAGAAACTTGAATTACGTCTTAATTTATACTCAATCACAATCTTCCATAATTTCAAAACGTGGTTCATAAGCCTATACCTTTGTAATTTGAACAATCTTGAATTTCATCTTTCTTTTTCTAAATAGGAACTATAATTTTCTTCCTCGATCCATGAGGCATCGTTTTGAAGGCATTCACAATTCAGCTCAAGAGTTGAAGACAGAATTTATAGATACTTATTTTTCTTCTTTGAATTACATTAAAAAGCTTATAGAAGGATAGTTAACCATTTGTATTTGGGATGCACACTTTGGTTGCCATGCAATGAATTATCTCCTTATAAAAGAGGAGTATTTTTTCTCCAAATTTAATGATTACAAAGTTGTCAAAGCTCTTTAATTAGTGAAATATTGTAGTGTTAAGCAATAGCTTACACTGAGTTAATTACTAATTGTGATATACTTTCTGTTTTTAATTCTCTTACAGGAACATTTGTTCATTGTTACTGAACTTCTGCGAGCAAACTTGTATGAATTCCAAAAATTTAATCGAGAATCTGGAGGAGAGCCATATTTTACATTGCTAAGGCTGCAGGTCTTCTCTGACGGAACCTCTCTTGGATCTGATTTCTTTCCATAAGCATTTATATTTAGGATATTAGTACAGTTTTGTCGGCAAGAAACAGTTTAGATATGAATTAGCAGGTACCGAGTGAAATGTTAAGGTTTTCTATTCCTTTACAGGTCATAACTCAGCAGTGTTTGGAGGCTCTAGCTTATCTGCATGATTTGGGAATCATACACTGTGATCTAAAACCGGAAAATATTCTTATCAGAAGTTATCGAAGATGTGAGATAAAGGTTATTGACCTTGGAAGCAGTTGCTTTCAGAAAGATAACCTCTCCCTTTATGTACAATCTCGTTCCTATAGGGCTCCTGAAGTTATTTTAGGCCTCGCATATGACCAGAAAATTGATCTCTGGTCGCTTGGCTGCATTTTAGCGGAGCTATGCTCAGGGGAGGTATTTTCTATAATTGCTTTAATCTACTTTCTAGCCTACATGCACGTCCCATGCACAGTAGCTAGTGAGTATTACTTGTATCCTCAAATCATCTGTGATCTACCAGGTTCTTTTTCCAAATGAAGCAATTCCAATGCTGCTTGCTCGCATAATAGGAACACTTGGTCCCATTGACATGGACATTTTGCAAAGAGGGCAGGAGACGCACAAGTATTTTACAAAAGAATATGATCTTTATCATATTAATGAGGTTTGAAATTTTAACTTATTTCCATTTTTGTTCTCCTTCAGGTTGATGTTTAGAAAGTTCTTTTCTCCTGTAGTAGTTTTTTGAGTCTTTGATTACCAATTTCAAAATTTTCCGAGGTTCTTTCTGTTTGGAAGTTATAAGCTATCTATATTTGTGTTTTCTGTTAACGATATAGTTTTCAACATTTTTTAACTTCGGTTCCTTGTACATATTCTGCCAACCCCTTTTCTAGCTAGTCAATGGTCAATGAATTCCTTAATCTAAAACGAATGTATCTACTTTTGTTACTAAAGCATTGAAATTTATCACCAAGTAATAGTCGGCCTTCGCCTTGTAAATGTTTGTACATTCTAATAGTAGTTTTCTTGTGAATACAATTTTCCATTTGACTTTTTCATTTATATATGCAATTATGCAACAGGAAACAGATCAGCTAGAGTATATAATCCCTGAAGAGACATCATTGGAGCATCAACTGCAGGTTTCTGATCCTGGGTTCGTTGAGTTTGTACGATACTTGCTAGAGACTAATCCAAAAAGGCGCCCGACTGCAAGGCAAGCCCTCGAGCACTCATGGCTTTCCCAGTCGTACGCTGTTAACCCCTTTTGAGATATTCATAAAAAATGAGTCTTTCCAGACATAGCCTCAACATACGTCGCCAATTCTGACTTGGTCCAATACGTTGATGATCACTTTGTGCATGCTGTAAAGTAATGGTTAAGTAGCGAGTTTATACATTTCCAAGATTTTGTATAGGTTTTTAAGTATCCTCTTTGAGGGATTGTGGAATGATCTTTTTCGGGCATGGGATGAGAGAGGAGGTTTTGGTTTTGTATCGGATTCATGTAGAATGTTTCTCATGCAACCATTCTGTTAGTAAATGAAAAGGTAATTCTGTTTGAAGAGTTGAATATATCAATTGGTTTTGGTGGCTAGAGGCACAATAATGTAAAAGAGCATTTGTGAATATTTACCTCCTATGGTTTCTCGTTTGATTCTTTTCCATTTCATTGCGAAAAGCAATCTTTAAAAGCAAGTTTCGAAAGTGTTTATAAATGGTTTAAAAATATTTGCTTGTCACATCCATTGTAGTTGTCAAGCAATTACAGATATAAATCTCTCGAACATTATCTTTTTCAACACTCCTTGCGACAATCAAATACAAAAGATCCAGGAGAACCTCTAGGACATTCGGCTAGAGGAAGCCCGCATAGTTGGTCATAGGCTGAGGAGTTGAAGCTCTATAGTTGAGTGCCTTGTGGAATCTTTTCCTGTCAAATTGTTGCTTTGTAAGTATAGAAAATAGGGACAATTTAGTTGGTTTCTGGACAAATTGAAGGATTCTAACATCTCCATATGACTAGTTTAGGGACGTTAAACCTCTCAGTCACGTAATTCCCGAGGAATAATACTAGAAAACGTGTTGTTGGATAGATCAATGCTTTTGAGAAGTCCCAATTTTTTGTAATGTGATTCTTATTACTATCGAACAAACTTTCTGAACCAAAGAAGTAAAATTGTTGAAACTGGATATATTGTTCCCGTACTTGATTATTGGAGAGGTATGCATAAGACTTGTTGTACTAACGTTAAAGAACAAGTTGAATGTCGAAGAGCAAGTGAGACGATTATAAGATAGAATGAGGATAAAGAAGAATTAGCAAAGACATTATAGTCTGGCAGAGTATTGGGAAGAAGACATGCCTACTACTGCAATTCCTTCAAGAAGGGGAGTTCTGCTATTTCTTGCATCTAGTTGGATTCTTTCAAGTTAACACTCCTCAAGATGAGATATGACAATAAAGACTGACAAAAAGGCCATTCAATGTTCTCGATTCTCAGGCCATTGTTGCCACAAAGATCAAGAGTATGCAAGTTTGTTAGGTTCCCAACATGGACGGGCCCAGGAATATAGTTCAGGGGGGCGAGAGGGAATTGTGCAAAAAAATAATTTCAAATTAGACAATAAAGATAATATACAAAACGTAGTACTTTTTTTTTTTTACAATTGTTTCTTACGACTTTTCATACTTTGAAAAATTCGTATAATAGTCTCGTTATTAATTTCATTAAATACATTTTTTCAACATACACAACTAAGCTATCATTCATCCATTGGTCTCCAATCTGATTACGTAGTTCACAATAGTTATAGCAAAAAATATTCTTTCAACTATAACAGTAGTAACGAAAAGAGTTAATCCTAAAATCACAAGTATTTAAATCTTTTGGTCACAACCAACTACTGTGCAAGTTCACTAAGTTCCTTCAATTCTCCATACTCCTTGCTAGAGTGCATATCAACAATCTAGTTTCAAAACCGATCATCAAGTGTCATGAGCTGTACTTTTGAAAAATCTTTAGGATAATATTTAGCAAGACGAATTAATTTATCATTGTCAAAAGCGGAGAATGAATCATCGGGGCATAAACATGCTAAACAAAGAAATAACTCTGTACTTACCTCAAAAAAACGATCATTCAATTCTTGAAATTGCATATCAATGACAAAATAATATAAATCCACATGGAAGCGATGAAAATTTGTCATTTCTTCAGTATTACGCCGTAAACGACCTGGGCGTACAAATACACTATCCATATCAAGAACATCAATATTATGCTTTTGACAAAAAGATCCAAAAAAAAATCTCACTCATTGTCCCTCATCTCTTGGAGTTTTTGTTTGCATACTGTTACTAAATTCATGGCATTTATAATATCATGATCATTTCTTTGTAATGCCTTAGACAGATTATTTGAAATCTCTAAGATAGTTTTCATAAGATATAGATTGATCACAAACTCAAATGACCGCATTCAGTCCAATAAATTATCAACCTCACATCTTTGTTCACGTGTTGATCCATCAACCGAAATCATTTCAATGACATCAATTGTAGGTGAGAACATAAAAATCAAACTAATCAAAGATAATACGATCCCCAACGTGTTTCACCAAAATGCGCAATAGTACTTTGTTGATTAAGGTCCCGTCCACTTGAAATCTCACCATTGATGAGTGCTTCAGAAATTATGGCTTCTTGTTTCTTTCGAAGAATATCACATTGTTTAGAAGAAGCTCGAACAATATTCACCACGCTAGAAACTAAATTAAATAGTAAATGGACTTTCTTGTGCTTGTTTGCTATGGCTACAATAGCTAATTGAACTTGATGAGCAAAACAATGCACATAAAATGCACTTGGATTCTCTTTCAAAATAAATGTTTTGAGACCCTTGAATCTACCTTACATATTACTTACCCCATCATAATCTTGACCTCACAATCTAGATATATTCAACCCATATCTTGAAATAATTTATCTATAGCCACTTTAAATGATAGAGTTGTAGCACTGAAAACATGTTCAATTCCAATAAAATGTTCAATCACGTGTCCCGTCTTATCCACATAACGTAAAACACCAGACATTTGCTCTTTCACTGAGATATCTTGAGATTCATCAACTAAAATTGAAAAGAATGTATCATCAATATCTTTGATGATAACATCAATCGTTTCAACAGCTGCAGCACTTACAATATCCTTCTGAATTTTTGGTGATGTTAGTTTGTGGTTTTTTGGAGCATTGTTCAAAGTAACAGCCTTAATCTCTTCATTATGATCAGCTAGAAACTTCAATTGTTCAAGAAAGTTACCTTGATTATTTGACTCATCACACTCATAATGACCACGAAAAGCTTGTCCTTGACGTAAAAGAAATCGAACACAATCAATGGATGCATTCAAACGAATTCGATATATACTCCGGGCTTGTTGTGACTGCTTGAAGAAAACTGTCTCAATATGTTGCTCTTGATTCATCAAGGCTTCACAGTTGCTTCGGGCTTGATTGTGTGCACTATGGATGTCTCCAACATGAACTCCAAGTCTATCCTTCTTTTTAAAATTTTGGAACCCTTCTTTCACAAAAGCATCACTACCTCCTTGTTCTCCATTGTTTGGTCCGAAAAGATAACAATATAAGCAAAATGCAGCATTCTTACTTATACTGTATTCTAACCAATCACCATATTCATTGAACCAAGCAGGAATGAATCGCCTCGATTTTGTACGTGGAAACACATGGCTCCGAGGCTGACACGGACCTCTCTGCAAGTATGCTCTTCTTATTTGATCTTGAAGATTAACATTGTAATCCATTATTGGAGGTCTTAATCCGGGATCCGTAGGAAGTTGTGCAATATCAATATGCTCAACACTTGCTTCCTTTGCTTCAACATTCTCTTGGGGAAAAAGAGTGTCATCAATAGTTGCTTCCTTTGCTTCATCATTCTCTTGGGAAAAAAGAGTGTCATCAATACTTGCTTCCTTTGCTTCATCATTCTCTTGGGGAAAACGAGTGTCATCAATAGTTGCTTCCTTTGCTTCATCATTTTCTCCAATAGTAACATCCTCAACCCTTGATTCCTTTGTCTCGATATTTTCTTCAATAGAAATTTCTTCAATGCATTGTTTCTTTGCCTCAACATTTTCTTCAATAGAATTTTGAGATATTCGTTTAAAAAATCTCAACATATCTTCCTACAAATCAAACAAAGAATGCATAAATATACCATTAGTGAAATGGCAAAGGTAAGATAACAATGCCGATCATTAGTCATTAGTAGTTTCAATTTATTTTCCCACAACTAGATTTCAATGGCATGAATATTATACAAAT